TATAGTCAATTAGGCTCCAAATTACTAGCCATAATGCCGAATTCCTGTAAAGGTTGTGACCTATGGCCGCTAGGCCCTAAATGCAGTTGTTATCTTGAACAGACTTCCCTCATTAAAAATGTTTTCCCTTGATTTTTGAAACTTCCTTTCATGAATTATTTTTGTGAACAATTTTCCTCCGGCTAGCGATAGGCTCGTGATCCAGACGTCTCTCCCTTATGCTAGACTTGTCAAATCTCTGCGACTAAAATAAAGGGCGTAACATCTTGATCTTCATGCCTACGATTGCTAAGATAGATCTTCAATAAACATTTTTACGCTTAAGTTAATGTAAGAACTGATAGTTGAATTATCTACAATGAAAGAAGTAGACTTCACGATACCATTTAAGTTCGTATAGTCTTGCCTCATTCGGAGTCGACTGTATTATTTACTTCGCCTTAATCTCATCACATTCTGATAGGACTCAAAACCGAGTCGTGAGCATAAAGGAGAAACGTTACTATTCCAAAACGAAGTTACATGTTTAGAATAAATAAGTAAATTTAACAAAGAGCACCGGCGATAAAATGTAACAAAGTAAAATTTATAATCTCGAAGCCTAACTAGATGGATTAACAAACCGACTTAATTAAAGATATGAAAACGCAAATCTGGTCATTTTAATGGGCTGACATTTTAGCCTCGATATTATATAGATTTTTATAGATTTAGAGCACAAAGTATCAAATTGTTGCATAATCATGCAAAAAAGTAAAGCTTGATTAATGTTTGGAAGTGGATTCAGAAAGACAAATGATACGATTCATTATAATTACCTGAAGTCGGGTTTTGATGACATCAGCAGGAGTGGTAAGCGATGCAGCAGGGGCGCCGGATAATGTGGCCGCTAGGAGCAGAGTATACGGCGAGTTGTAGCCGTTTTCGTCAGCAAATAGCTTCTTCAGATGTGAATAAGCGGTGAAGTAGATAGCTGAGAAAGGGATATCACGCAAAAAGCAAGCACGAGAGCCCTTGTAGAGGCCAAAAATACCAAGTTCCTTGATCACCTAAAATTGAAATTTGATGTAAAAAATTAAAGGGCAAGGCGAATATACTAACAGTAAATAGATAAATACATAGATAAAAATGCTGTTAACAGGATGAAATTCATAGAAACATAACAGTGTTTGCGATGAGGTAGCATGGAGGCAGGAATCCGTAGTAAGCATAGATAAAGGCAAAAACAATTGCTGCCCACTTTAGCAAAACTGTAAAACCCACGGATTGGAATGCCAATAAATCAATTGCAGATCCAAGGAACAATATAAGAGGAAAAAAAAGAAAAACGGTGAAAGTATTTAGACAGGAAAAGGCAATGAAGAAAGATTATAGGAATCATTAACAAGTTTTAATTGAGTGAAAAATAGGATAAGCAGCAAGCCGACAAATAAAAGCTAGAGCTAAGCAAGAAATTATACCTATAAAGCTAACAAGACTAAGATAAGAAGGAAGAAGATTGATTGAATAAGTTTAATGATTACGGCTAATAATTAGCGATAAAATTTTTTATTCTATTCAGAGGGGGCAACATGAAGTAAGCAGGCCTTGTTGTACAACTTTTCACACAGCGTAGGCGTGATTGCGATATAAAATATCGGTCAATAAGCTTTTGCGAATTATGATTGATGACATTCAAGCTAAAATCTGATAAAATGCAAAATAAGGAGTGGGGAGTTGTTTGACCTTGGTTTCGCAACTTGGTCATATTAGCAGGAAGACCTAGAGGAACGCATCTTGTCTGGAGTTCATAGTATGCATGATCATTTTTAGAGTCGGACCATGGACTTGGTACATTCCCAAACGTTTCGACTGCATCGTAGTCGGCATCATCAATGAATCTTGCCATTCTCAGCGGCCAAGCTACAACTCGTCAAAGAGAAAAGTGAGATCAATCCCTTGACCAACTTTCTGTCGTGACGGTTATGCTATCACTTCGTTTTGTCCTGATCACTCTAACCATTTCCTATACTATAGTCTCACCCTCGTCCTATCACAACTTATGCCATGTTAATATTCCACAAGAAATGTGCCCTTTACCGTGGCGTCATCACAACTGCTGTTTGCCTTGCTCCCTCCCTTTCAAGTAGCTGATTCTGCTCTAGTCTTTTGTCCGGATCGATTTGACGAGTTGTAGCCTGGCTGCTAAGAATGACAAGACTCATTGCTGATGCCAACTAAGATGCCGGCGAAACGTTTGAGAATATACGAAGTCCACGGTCCAACTCTTAAAATGATCATGCATACTATGGACTTGGGACAAGGTGCGTCTTCCTACTAATATGACCAAGTTCTGAAACCAAGGTCAAGCAACTACTATACAACGAAAGGAGACCGCAACCATACAAAATACCCCACCATCCTGGTCTTCACACCTCCGATTAAACTAAGGAGTGAGAAGTCTAAAGAAAACATATAATACAGGATAAGTTATGAAAATAAATAAAAATGAATAGTGGGATACGGTGTTCGCAAAGTTGAAACTGAGACAAGGTGAAGAATTGCTGTGTTGAGGTGATGTCGGTCAACATAATGAATAAGTCTTGGATGAAATTGATAAAAAACACGGTTGTCTGCAAAATAATTGCAAGCCTCATTTACCCCTGGACCGCGGTATCTTTCTTGACTGTTATAACATAAGATCGAAACAAAACAATCAATAAAATAAAAAAGCTATTCGAGTTTCTCTAGAGGGAAGAATTGGAAATTGAAGATATAATAAAACAGATAAAAATCAAGGTATACATATTTTTGCAAGTGAAGATGGCTTTTAAATTAGTCTTAATGTGGATAGCTAAGGAATAAGAACTCCATAAAACCTGTTTAATATAAGCCCAAAAGTGTAGAATAATGAAGAAGATTGTAGGATAAGTTTGCGTCATAAAGACTATTTGCTAGCCTTATAGATTACGTCATGTGTCTTAGAAAAAGTATTGCTAGTTTTCCACAAGCATTGATCAAATTAAAAGTCAATGAAGAAAGTCTTTATATTCAAAGTATTTCCAGATAAAAATATGGCCGAGATCTGAGCAAACGTTGCGTAGTTCGATAGCCTTTTAAAACCAAAAATTTAAAATAACAAAGAATGCAATAGATTGTAATAGCAAACTAAAAAGTGCATTAATTATAAAATGTACTTTGCACATTAGTTTGAGTCTTAAATGCAGCTTAATACTGACATTATTACATTTGTCTATATGCAACCTCTAATTTTCATTAAGATTAGAAGTCATATTAGCCCGCATGATGTGATGAAGAGCTAATAGCTAAATTTTTCCACACTGATATGAATAAGCCTTACAACGCACTTAATCATACTTCACAAAGGATATTCTCATATGACCTCGCCTAGGTATAATCATCACCCCAACAAAAATCAAACCGAGTTTGTGCAGCGTATAATTTCGAAACGCAACTACGACATACTCTCATAGGAGTTACATGTTTTCAGAACAGACGTAACTTTAAAAGCAAGTCAGATCTTTCCCATATCACATTTTATAGCGGCATAGTAAATTATCATTAGGATCGACTCGTGGACTGCGTCAACTTAACATTATATAAGAGCCAAACAGCTGCAGTAAAACGGGATTCATCTGTCCTCTTCTAGTGAGATCGACCTACGAATCCCTTCTTCATGCACTTTCATACGAAATGAATGTCCTCCAACAATGAATACAATTAGTTTTTATATAAAAACTTTTTCAATAGAATCTATCTTACTGGAACAGAAATGTCATAATACTTTAAAGCTGGCACCTTAGCAAAAAATTCAAGAAAAATGATTAGGTAAGTCAATCGGTACACCATTTGACAAAGTAGTGAATGTCATAAGGATAATACAAAATGGAGCTTAGATGAAAAGATAAAACAAGAATTTTGTAAAAAGGAAAGAAATCATGAAATTCAACACACCGAGAGAGCAGATATCCTTTTGGTTGAGGCAATCTCTCCAGCCACTTGCAAGCGAATCTTTACAATCTCAAGTGGATTCGTGAAGATAACCTGACTTCCACCGGCAGTACCACCGGCTAGGATTTCTGCCCACAAAGGAATCTCGCCTTCGTAATTAGTGAAGATATCCTTTACAAGGTCATTCACGGTCAGCTTAATGGCCTTCTCGGGCGCCACACCAACTAGCTGAGGAGTTAAACCACGATACAGACCGCCGAAGCCCTCAAATCTAAATAGGAGAAAGTCGAAAAAATTGTGACATTATGACTTGCTAAACTTTCCGATTTAGTTATGAGTATAAATACAAGAGGTAAAACAGAGCCAGACAGTCTTCTTGGCATAGTGTTAACTTGAGACGATAACAAAAATGAGTTTCAGTTATGATGATTGACAAAAGCTTAGCTAGTTCTCACCGGAAAAGAGAGAGGATATCTCTTGTACTGCATCAACCTAAGCGTCGTAATAAAGCTAGATGGCTGCAATACAACAAGGATTCGCCGTAAACATCTGGTGAGATCGACCTACAAATCTTTTCATCATGCAGTTTCATAAGAAATGAAAATCTCACTCCCCGGCAATAGTATCCTAAGTAATTCATTAAAACCCAGTTAATCTTTATATCCAAAACAATTGAATAATTTGCATGCCAATAAAAAATATAGTACACAATTTTACTCATGGACGACCTATTCCTAATCAAAATATGGAAATAGAATGAGTGCCTTGATGCTAAGGTCGCTAGAATGTGAGGTAAATGCTCAATCTGGGTTAATTATAATCTCAAGGTGAGTAGAGGAGTCCTTAAAACAATCTAAAAGTCTTCACACCACGGGACTGCCCACGATTTACGAATTCCTTTCATTCATATTTTTGTTCGAAATTAAATGCCGGGTTATGAGAGGGTTTATTGTCTCCAAATCCAGATAGTAAGTAGTGGTGTACAATAAAAAGATTTTTGACATTTTTCGGACACTTATAATGGTGAATGGGCCTTCAAAATAATTCGTCGGGCCAAGCTTGGTTAAATAACTTCACTAAATTAGTATTTAAGCCCGGATTTAAAGAAGAGTTACTTACCTATTATTTTAAATAAAATAAAGTTACTAAACTTTACTACTGAAATTCTCCTCTTAGTAGACTACTAAACTAAGTAAATCTTTAATCAAATATATTAAGAAGGCTAAATAGAGAAAAATTTTGCCAATAAATTGTCATCTTGCTTGTCTGAGGGTAGCATCCGATGTTGTTGGCCATGTCAACCTCAGTTACCCGACCATGAAAATAGTCCAAAAGTAGATCCCAAAGTATCGCTGGCCCCAGTTTTTACATGAGCAGCCATCAGCATGTTTGTAGCTGGTGAACGCATCAAGCGAAGTTGAATTTGTTAGCCCTGCCAAAGATACACAGAAGGTTGTCCACTTAGAATAATAGTGAACAGAATGAGAAGCGTGGGACATAACACAACAAAATTCGCTGGCGAAAAATGCGAGAATATTCTGTCTTACATATGTCGGGATCAGAAACATAAGAACATGAAGAAGGAAATAGAACATGTAAATATTAAGAAGAAAAGTTTCTATAAGAGGCATTATGATTCTCGATGTAATAAAATGTGCTGAAAACGGAAGAATGGAAGCCCTAGAGAGGCTACTTAATCATAGCCATTATTTTTTAGAGGATCTAGGGTAGGGATGAATTCGGCTGCAAAACTAGGCTAATCAATAATAAATATAATTTAATTGGAAAAAATGGATAAAACTATTTTATATGCAGTTGAAGTACTAATTATTTCGTTTGAAAAGGCTAGTGGAAGGGATACGTATGCTGGTTTTACCGGAAACTGTAGGGGATTTGCCTTGGAGCTATGATTGTAGATTTGTGCGAATATATACTCGGCGCACCGCCCTGCGACACTGATGAATCCTTGCCGGGCTTTCGTCTCCCGCATGGCATCATGCTTTACCATAATTCACCAAAATAGGAAGGCAATGAATGTTGCCGTCTGCAAATCGCACGGTGGTGCTATTCACACAAAGTAGAAGTTACAGCTCCAAGGCAATCCCTCTATAACATCCGATGAGGCCAATTTACGAATCCCTTTTACTTGTTTCTTTAAACGAAACGAAAGGAATTACAAAAGTAGTCTTTCAAGGGATTATTTGAAACCCAGTTTCTATAACATTTTCCCATGTTTCCCGTCAAGTTCTATATTATAAACTATCTACTTGAAGCAACTAGAGAATACGCTTTTAAAATAGCGATTAATTAAACAGGAATAGGATATAGAATATGACCAAAGCGTTGAGAAAATTAAAATGCTTTCTTAGGCAACATTAAGAAAGGAATTTATCAACGTTAAATTTAACCGTTAAAATTGAAGAATGGTAAAAAAAAGATTCATTTTTTTGTGTAAGAGCGAATAGTAGAGACTTGCAAATGACGGATCAAAATAATTTTAATTTAGGTAACAAAAACCATGATTATCTTAAGCCAGTGAATTGATAGGAACCAGTAAAGAGTAAAAAGAGTCTGTAGAATCGATGATGTCATTTACAAATTGCTGTGGGTCATACAAAGGAAGGTGAGGAGCTACCATTTACAAACACCTGGCTATAGGCCACATGGACGGACAATAGCTAGCATCATGTCAGATATAAAAAGGGTAAATAATAGATAGTGATATGTAGGGCAGACTAGAGAGACGCTGGCGAAAGAAGAGAAGTAGAACAAGTTATGAAGATTTGGATAAGTCCAAATAAAATAGAAAAATAATTAGGATCAGATTGTCGAGAATAACAAAAAGTTTGGTCAGCTTGCTTAAGAGAAGCCAGTTGTGTGGAACTGGCTACCGCGATGAGTATATAAAATATGAGAAATGAAATAAAATATAAGAACAGATACAGGAACGAAGTGGATGAAAATGATATTCGTAAAAGCTATTATCGTAAATATTCAGGTGTAAACAAAGCTTTCAGAATTGGTGGGAAGAAAACGATGAAGATATTTTAAAGATTATGGACTGAAGTTGGTCATGACAGTGGAATAGTAAGAAAAGGCGCAATAATGAGAAGACTTGGCAGAGTAGCGCAGACATGTGAACACAGAGCTTTAAAAGAAAGAGCGACCATAAATAAAGGAACAAGACAAAAGATAAATAGGAAAGATTAGGTACCAATAAAGAAACATCATAATAAAAATCTATGAAATTCAAACGTTCAGTCGATGCGTGGGTACGAGTTACAGGCACTTTGATAGCTGCCCCTGAGAAAATTTGAGCCAAGCTTGAAGTGTGTCCCACTGTCTATGGACTATGTTCAAGGCGTGGTAACCAAGGCCTGATTTTCCAATTACATCAGAAACGCCCATTTTGAGAGCAAGTTTATTAGCTTCCATAAACCTTAATATAGGTCAACAATTAAAAGTATAATAAAAAGGCAATAAAATAAAGGAAAAAAAGCATGCATCAATTCGATACAATATTATATCACCTCTTAGTGATACAAGAATTTCACAAATTCATAATGCTGATAATTTTTCATGATTCAAATAGAGATAGAACAGCGAATTCATGCAGGGATTAAGGTAAGATATCGAGATTATATATAAACGAGGTTTCGAATAAAAATTAAGTAGGATACTGTGACAATTTTCCATTCCGAAAGAAAGGAAAGTTGAAAGGAATTCGTAAAGTGTTCGCACCGAAACCGGAGAACTGCCACGTAGGGAAAACTGTTGTGTTGGGAGGAGTCCTCAGCTCAACGTCTTGCGACCCCGACAAACCTGCGATAAGTTTTTGTGTGCCTCTGTGACAGACATCACCAGAGCAGGAATACATACATAGAGCAAAAATATAACAAACTAAGAGAAAATATGGCTGGCTGCAACCATAGTCGCTTTATTAAACACCTAAATTCGTGATCTTAATTAGACATCCCATTATTTGGTTGGCTACTTCAAAATTATTCCACATTCTTGCAAATGAGTTAGTTGACTTTTCGAACCGGAAGTGTGTTAGGTGGCAGCTGTTTCATTACACAAAAAACTAGAGTACGACCGTCTAATGTTGATTCATGTTTGGGCTTGTGCTATTGCCTATTGTGTGTTTGTAATTCTCATGTCATGGAAAATATGATAGTCATAGCTATCTCGAGGCTAATCCAGTCTCCTCTAGCTCAGTGGCTCTTCCTGCACTCCCCCTCTCTCACTCTCCTTAAGCCTATCCAACAACCACAAATATTTCATACTCAGTTTTCAACACTCGTTTCTAGTATTCAAGACGATGGCTAACTTACTCATTTATATACTCCCTTTGATGTGATGTAGATCATGCTAAGAAAAGTTGAGTTTCGAGGAATTTCGTGTTTTATAATAGTTAAGCTTAGTTTCATTTCGAGTAAAAGAGTTTGGTGAAAAGATTCGAAGGTCGATTCCAGCAGAAGACGACGGCTGATTCCTCTTGACCAACAGTCGATTGGCTTTACTGGAACATTCATGGGGACGACATTCCCGAGGTAATTGCATTCAATTCCGGTAAAAAGGTGCTAAGCTTTGTCTACCATATGACGAACAGC